GTGAATAATGGGTGTGTCTTAAAGTATTACTCTAGTTTAAAATTCAAAGTCTTCCTGTATACTGAAGTGTAGAACATGTACTCTAAGTAAACGTGATAATGGTACTGAAGTCTCACCATCATTCCTACAAAAATGTGTTTATGGGTTTTGTATACTTACACAATAAACATGCTTTAAAGATGCATACATACAGACACTAAATGTGCAATTTTGTATCATATAAACATTTTTAAAGGCATAAATTATCACACATGAAAAAAACTCACCAAAACATTTAATCATATAAATTACATTTATAGGATAAGATGTGCTGCCAAAGAAAATTTGGAAATGAAACAATTGGAATCCGATGAAAGAACTAAGAGAATTGGATAACATTTTTACTGGAATTAGAAGTAACAAAAAAAGTAATTTAGAAAAATTTATTGGCAGGCAACATATATACCTAAATCAAAACACAAATTTAAAAGCATTCAAAAGAGAAGTATTTAAAACAAAAGGGGCACATCTGAAACTTTTTATCTCAAAATCTGTAAATGGCAAATTGAAAAATTCAAAATAATCAGATTAATAAATAGTGACATAAAATATTAAAATATATCTTATATGAAAGGAGTCATAGGTGAATTATTTTGGGGCTTACAAACTCCATAATAATTACTTATTTTCCAGTGCCCAGAACAATGGTTTTGAATTAATCAGATATTCTTGACTGTGAATTTCTGTATTTTGATGCTGTGTAGTCTTTTAGGGTTATCAACATTTCAGAATAAAATAACACCTCCATCTTCTATGTTCCTCTGAAAGCTGGTATGTAATAACTTAGACCACTGCGAGAACTCAAATCTCACAGAATTACTGTTCTAAAAAGTTCATATACAATAACGCTAACAGAAATAATTGAATTTATATCTATTTAATGGTAATAGTAAAATAGACTACATAACAGAACATTTATAGAATTCTAAAATCATTTAGGAAGACAGCCCCCTGATTCTAAAATGGTGTTATTTATTATTTAAACATAAATTAATAAGTAACATAAAAACTAAGAAAAACTGTATATAACACAAAGGTCTTGTTTTAATGGAAATACTTCTTTAAAGTAAACAGTGAAAAATGGAGAGTTCAGTACTGAAATTCATTTTGTCTTGGATGATGAACATATATAACAAAGATAACAGAAACAAATTAACTACAATTCTTAACCTTTATCATATTACAAAAGGTTATTTAAACCCCTGTAATATGGGGCTGCTGGCCAGAATTCAACTCTGGTTAAAATTTTAGCAGTATGCAAGTCTGGTGCAGATAAAAGTGTGCTGTTCATAAGAAGTAATAAAGGTTACAGAAGTTACTCTTCATAATATACTGACTACAGCACTATGTAAAATCTACAAAACAATATGATATCAAGAATAACACAGTCTTCTTCACTATTCTTTACAAAATATTTAATATACATAAACACTGTGCAGAAACAAAGAATGGTCCAATTTAGATAACTACCAAACAGCAGAAATGTAACTGAAACGATTACTTATGGATGCACATAAACTTAGAGATAACAAAAAATTGAGTATGATCTACAGTATTCAGTTTACAGTAAAAATAATATGGCTTCAGAGTATTCCATGCAAATACTTAAAAACTGAATTCAGTGTCAAGAACTAAAATAAAATACAATAGTATCATGCAGTAGTAAACATAACAGATAATAATGAAAGCTTCTACTTCCAAAATAACTTTTACCTTCCATGAATGTTCCATTGATAAATGTATAGGGCAGGGGTTTGAAACCCACCCCCTGTAGACTGCATGCAGCCCATAAATGTGCTTTGTGTGGCCCGTGTATAATTTTTATCACACTTAATCAACCTATATGTTGAAAATGAGTTACTTGATATCATAAAATACTTTTTGTAAACACTGTCCATATCTGACAATTCCTATACATATATAAAATAAGTCAGTCTTAGCAGTGTGGTCTCCTTACTTGCACATCATATGACTAGAGGGTGGTGTCAGGTTGTATGGTCAGTAATCTCATTTTGGGTATGGTGCCATGTCACTTAAATAAGATCTTCTGTCCCTTGTCCTAAATTTGTCTGTCATTTTTCCTGGTCACATCAAGATCTATCATGTTTAGCGTTGGTTTGTAATATTTTGATTGCTGGGTTGCATGCTTGATGAAGTTTATATATATATATATATATATATAAAAATCATCTTTGTTATTCCTCAAACTTACCCTAAAAGTGGAGACAAAGCTAGCCTTTGAAATGTTAGCATTTGACTCAACATTAACAAGACTGATCTCCAGTGAAAATGTTATAACAAATTTCAATGGTGTTCCAGCAAGCTGCTCTTATTTATAACCTTGCAGTCTGCAAGTCAATAACAATGGGTCAATGTGGCCCTAGTTATGGAAAATGTTGAAAACTCCTGTGTCCAGGACTGAATGTTGGTAAAGATGGTTTCTCTATATACTGAAGACTTATTGTGCCAGTTGACTGAAGACAAATGAACTAAATATTATAAAACAATAGCTCCAATACCAAACTTGTTCTTTTTAGGGAGGATATTATCCCCCAAATTGTGTAGTAGGACAAGACTTCAGGTTAAATATTATAGGAAGAACATAATTAACAGGAGCCACAATTGAACATAATATGTGAGAGAAGAAATTGCATTTACTCCAAAAATACCATTAATGTCTGACTAACCATTTGAGTTGAAACATTTATGTTTTCCCATGAACCTTCTGAAGCCCAAGCTTGTGTAAACAATTTTTAAGAATTCAGTCCTAAATGCAAAGATAACATAACACTTCATTACAAAGATCAACTGGTTAATGCTGTATATGAAAATAACTGATCTTTACAGTGAGAATCATATGAAATCCACAAATACAAAATGAATAATTATTAATGGTTGAAGGAGGGACAAATAGTTGCTAATGGGCTTCAAAGTGTTAAACATTTTATACTAAAATAATCAATAAAGCAAAAGGTAATTCTTTAAAAGAAGTGAGCACACTGATTTAATATATGAATGTTTTTTTACATGGGTAATTAAAGACAGCTTTTTGAAGAGCTGGTTTTGCATATATTGCTTCCATAGGAGAAACAACAAACGTTTATAAAAAGGTTCTGTACTGAATTTTCCTCACAATAATGTATAACATGGCTATCTCTAGAAGATGAGGAGGGGCTGATACACTACTACTTTTGCATTCTCAAAATACATTCGATGGTAATAATATTTTATGTTAAGCAACACAAAAGTTTATAAACATAAACCCTCATTTAAACAAATTTTATGTTTACAGACTTGATTTTATTAAAGATTCTAATAACTAATTTCATAAATTAAACTAAAATGTGTGTTTAGTTACTTTATTTTCTCAAGTTTGCCACTGTATAACACTTCAATATTCAATAAAATTATGGTGCAACTAACCTGAAGAGAAAGAATAATACCAAGTGATATTTATATTCACACAGAAGGAATGGGTAAAATCCTGACAAATGTCTTAGAAACTAATTACTGTAAATGATTCTGTGAAGAGAAATATTCTACTTCTCTAATGTTCAACAAAGTCTCGGAAGATCAGGCCTACAATAAGCTTTTGGGCAAGGAAGACTGATAAACATTTGTTGAAATTCCCTGCAGTAACACTGTGAGCACTGTGCTAGTACTTATTTCCCCTTAAATTGTGTTCAACCGTAATTCACTGTCAATTACATGAAGTTTCATTGTTCAAATCAATACAGCTTATTCATGTTCTACAGACTGAAATGAACAAAGAAATAATACAATCTGTGGAGCTATTAAATGCCATTCTCAAACTTGGACAGAAAGAAAGAAAGAAATTTCTACTGTTACCAACGATGTCCACACAAAATCAGTACTAAAGACACTGAATGAATAACTTCATATCTTCAAGGAGAAACATGTCAACATGTCAAAGTTACAAATTGCAGAAAATATATTATAATACATTTAAATAATATTCTAAAATATGTGCAAAAACCACATAATGCAAGACCCAGAATAAAGGATATCAACATAACAGAATGTCAGGAGTAAGAACGTGAGATCCACAAGTAGAAATGATAAGATAACAAGAGGCCAAATACCAGCCAGTGTCATACACTTTCACACAGAACCCTGATGAAAAACGTGCATAAAACTGAATGACATAATGAAAAAACGTCAATAATAAAATAGTGTGGTGTTCAACAAATGGTGAGATACTAAGTCTTCATGTGGTAACCTCAGTGGCCATGTGACCATCACCTTACCTGCGTGGTTGATCTCAGCGAGTGTGTTAGGTATCACGTTGCTTTCGTCCACTTCGATCACTATCTCACTGTTGTCATTGATGTCAAAATCTGAATCGAAATCACTGCCTGGGTGGTTTGAATGAACGGGATCGCCTGCCAGAGGTCAACACGCAGGTTAACAGACAAGCCAGTTGTAAATGGGGCACTGGTCATTTTGAAGTACTGAAGGTTACTTAAGTTGTCGCAAGTAACTGTGGCCATATACATTCCAATGTAAAAGTTACTCTAAGTTTATTTAATCACCAAAATACATTAAATTGAAATTTGCAGAGAAGAATGCAAGTGTGAAGGTAATGAAATAAGAAAGGATTGACTTCTCATTTCCTCACACTGAGGATACATTTCAAGATCAATATTTCAATTATCTACGTGGAGATGAGTCTGGCTTGAGAAGCTAATAGTCACTCAAACAGCCAAGAAATTTCCCGCTTTTATGGTAACTGAAAGTTCACTATGATGTTCATATGACAGTGCCACAGAAGAATAAGTTACTTTTCCATAGTGTTTGTCATTCATAAAACAGGTATATAGTATGATGGCAGTAACAAACATCTGTGATAGCAGAGGCAATACTCACATATTTATAGGTTGCTACTAGAAACATTTTATTCAAAAGACCACAGTTAAAACTGTAATCACCACTGACAGAAAAATATGCTTTTTATATGATAAATTTGCAAACTGATGACCAGTGCTCCCATTTTCCACAAACTACAAATTTCTGCAGGCAATGTGTCATTGCTAGCAAATGTAAGAAAAGTGAAATATTAGTCCAAACCCAACAAGCACAAAGCCCAGTTGTCACTCTGAATCAAATTCCTTCTCCCACACCAAACACATGCAAGCATTTTGTTAGCAACAGACAGAAATAAAGAGAGAGAGAGCACAAAACTTGATCTCATAATGGTACCATTTCTAAATAAATAAATTACATCACATAACAATAATTAACCAACTCCTCCTTAAATAGCTAATAGATACTCAACTGGTTAAGAAGTTCCCTACCTTTGTACCTTTTATGTAATCCAAAGTTTCATTACTGTCTTATTAGCCCAATAACCAAATAATACAACATATATTTATTAAATAATTTCTCTGAAGATAAATACTAGACATAATGAACTTAAATTTAAACTAGTTGTAATCTAATGCATGACAGGACTGTCTACTGCAAATGATTATAAAATTTATTTCAAAATATTTTTACTGCTTAACTATTTTTTGCAATTATGAAGGATTACATGTAAAAATGTCATTTTAAGTTATAAAAGAAGTCCTGTGTGATGGATAATACGTTTTTCAGGGCTAGACCTTTTTGCAAATGTTTAGAAAAGAAAGAAGAACATTTGACAAGTAAATGAATTTGTTATTTACATAGAAAGTTAGTAAACTGCACAAAAAATCTGAACAAAAATTTTGTTGGAACAAAACATTTTATCATAAATGCACAATACAACTACTTGTAGTTCATTATGACTATTTATTATCCACTTTTTAGTGTTTATGTTCTTATGACAGAATCCAAGACTTTAAACCAGGAATCCAGAGTGATGGTTATAAATGCGGTGGTGGACAAGAAAACTTAACACCAAGTTCCTGGATAGACACAATACAATCTTCCCACTAAAATGTCATTTTAATATTTTTTTTCTTATATCTTAAAAACCTTGCATACTGTGTAGTGTATTGGAATATAAAACATGCAGATGTAACGCCCGCACATCATTGAAGTTCACAGGCACAGACAATGAACCACGGATCACCGTAGACCAACAATGGCAATCAGACCAGTGGACATAAAAGCCATGTGCTCAATTTAATGCACCAACTCCCGCGCAATCAACGTCCAGTGAGGTGTTACATAAGTATGGTTTTGTAAAGTGCATGCATTCTATGCTCTGTTAAAACCATAATCTTTTTGATTTGTATTGTATGAATCAATTTGTTTTGCCACTGAAGATGACCTCTTGAGGTCGAAATGCATTTGGCATTAGTGTCCTTCAAAGTATAAATAGTTTTGTTTGTATGCATGTTTTATATTTTTCTTATATGTCTCTATGTTCCGATTTCTTTGATATTATGAAATATTGGAAGATTGAAGAACTAAATTAAGTAAGGAGGGGCAGTTACTGTAAATATTGTCTTAAACATTCTTAAAACCAGGCAAAGAAATCTTAATTTTATGTCATTTATATACACCTTCATTAGTTGAAATGACTGTTACACAGGTGCTTGCATATAAATTTAAAGGATTGAAATTCAATTATAAAAACCTGATTTTTTTTATTTCTGTTAAATGTGACAAATATTTCATAAGATATTTGAAGTACAAATATCAACCTCTATTTGATTTTTAAACCCAATAACAAAACTTATGAAATCAAACCCTTTACCCTAAAAAATAAAAATGAGGTTAAAAATTCATACATTTTGTATGCTCATGCCAGTACCAGAACAAATTAGATATAAGTGGCTATAGTTATTCTAAGTTATCAATGGCAGTTCTCAAACTAGGATTTTAACAGTCACTCATTAGGCCTCTTGATAAATTTTTACTAAACGAAATGTCAGAAACAAGAATACATAACATTGATAGAAAAGATTGTAGTGGACAAGACACTTTGAGTGACCTGGCAAAATTATAGGATAAAACCCATAAACCTCCTTCAGTCATTACATATATTTCAGTTCTGTCCCTGTCCTTCCAAGAGTAAACTAATTCTGGCAAGAAGAACATTGAGCGATATTTGATAAGAAATGATGAGAAGTATTATGCCCATTTATTCTCCAAAAAACTGAAAAAATGTGCATGGGAGGAGAATTCATATGCAAAGAAAAGCAAAGCTGGGTTGTACCCCCAGGAAAGGACCCCAATACCCACTGGATAGGAGGCTGGGTGGGCCCCAGAACCAGTCTGTACACAGGCTAGAGAAAAAATCCTCTGCCCCTGTCAGGGATCGAAGCCTGGTCATCCAGTCCATAGCCAGTCACAATACTGACTGATCTATGCCGGCTCATTAATTCATATTCAATTAAAATCCGACTTATGTACAACAAAAAATGTTACATTTTCACATTATGTTAAGTAATTATTTTAGATTATGAGCCGGGATAGCTCAGTCAATATAGTGACTGGATACGGACTGGGCGACCAGGGTTCGATCCCCGACCGGGGCGGGGCAGAGGATTTTTCCTCTAGCCTCTGCGTCCAGACCGGCTCTGGGGCCCACCCAGCCTCCTCTACAATGGGTACCGGGGTCCTTTCCAGGGGTAAAGCCAGCCGGGGGCGTGATGCTGACCACTCACCCCCATCTAGTGCCGAGGTCAAGAATGAGTAGGAGCTATACCTCCACTCCCCACAAGCGCCTACATGGCATATAGTGGGACAGCTTTACTTTTTACTTCACTTTACTCAATTATTTTAGATTTATGGTGCAGTCAGACCTTGCCTTACAAATATTTGTACTGTGAACTTTTGCTCATACAAGCTTTTATAATGAAAAGCATATCCTCTGCTTGGTTTTCAATGTAATGTGAACTAGTTCATCTGAAATCTTCTGAACAAAACTGAATCTAATAAAAAAATAAAGATGCAATATCACTAAGTCAGTCAGTGAAATCACAGTAAAATCTGAGAAAGTACATGAGTCAGTTCACCTTACGCTCCACTTTGGCATGCATCTTGTGAAAGTATATGTCATGATCTAATGTTTCGGTTGCTTGTGTGTTTCATTTCAGGAAACAAAATTCTTGATTTATAATTTTTTTGGTAATTTTTCAGTCATTCAGAAATGTAATCCCCAATTACAACATTACACTTATGGGAAATAACTCATTTTATAATGTTTTGCTTTACAAAGTCTCCAGAAACATAATTCATAGGAGCAGGGACTGCTGTACATCAAAATAAAATTTAAGAGGAAACATTCTGAAGAGAAACCTCAGTGCACCATATAGAGTTATAGTAATTAACACTGATATCTAAATTGTAAGTATTTAATTAATAAATGAGAGTGTTATAATTCATTCTTTTACTAATTCCTCATGACAGTCTCTCATTGTGCTCTTTAGTGTTTCAGTCCAATACTGCTTTTTCCAATCCCCATTATGTTCAGTTTATCAAAACACGTACTACAAGCAAATCACATTAGCAGAAGCTTAAGCTTCTTATCACGTAAGAAAACGATTCTGTAGTGACAATAATGGTTTGAGCAATTCCCAGCTAGGGAGCACATACATACTAACAGGAGGTTCTGGAACCTGAGATTTAATTCATAATATGAGCTTCCTAAATTCATAACTGCAATAAAAAATGCATTCATGTCGTGATGTTTGAAGGTGATGATAAGTCTACTATACCATTATGTTCAATTCTGAACAAAGAACTAATGCATAAATTAACATTTCTGTTTGTGGGGATTTGCTCTAATTACAGGCCCCTTCTTTTTGAACTAAACAATACATTTTATTACAGAGTATTAGGGCAAACATTATCTGCATAACTATTACATAAAAAACACAAACATCACACAACTTGATGGGAACATGCTGCACTACAGCACCATTAGCATAAAATTCCCAGTAGGCTACAAGACAGGTACAAGCATATTAGTATGTAACACCTTGGCAGATCCCGTTCCATGGGGAAGGATACAGTAACAGGAAAAGGTTCTGTTTTCCTTAGGGCCCCCATACACACACAGTTTGGCCTTCCGATCGACCTTACAGGCAAAACTGTGACAGTTTGCCCTCTTCCTTTCCTTCCCATACACGCGCAGATAAACCGGCAGGCTGCATGCCACAGTCACAGTCTTCCAGCCTTCCAGATTTCTTAGCCATCAATACTTTCTTCCGTTCCTTTCTGAAACTGCTACGTAGGTTGTTGATCTTTTTCAACACTTTTTCCTTGTTGGCTTGGGGATCTATTGTTTTAACTTTTTCCGTCAGTGCTGAATAAACACTCTCTTTCATCTCACAGTTGTGGTATTCCTTGCTCTTGACTTTCCAAATAGAAGGATGACCACGAAATTCTTCAATAAATTTGAGTACAAATTCCTTCAACCACGTTGCCATTGCACAAACGCGAAACAGTACTGAACAACACGAGACATCAGCAGCAACTGAGCGATTGGCCTGCCGGTATCGTCACACACGTGCGTTCCGCCTGTCACGTGCTACGTCCTGCAGGCAGAACTGATGGATTTCCAACAGTCCAACAGTCCAAACGATTGGCCGGCCGCACCACACACATCAGTTTTGCCTTTCAGTCTTCAACTGTGCAGGCCGAACAGGAGGCCAAACTGTGTGTGTATGGGGGCCCTTAGTTTGACAGAGTGTTACTCTGAATAATCTAACCCATACACTTTCATTTCTTTAACCTACAATCACTGTAATGTGTACAGGTTATGGAACTGTACTGAATAGTTAAGAGAATGTAGCATGTTCTTGTTCGGAACCACAACAAATCACTAGATAAAACTGCTTGTCACAATTTTTTAAAATCTGCATCTATCCTCAGTTCTTAATTAGCTCACCAAATCCTGCGTTGTCTTCAATTTTTTGTTCACTAGAGGTATCTTTAAAAGGATAAATATGCATATTTTGGTTTTTCTTAAATATCTCAAACGTTGATTAAGACGAACAGTTCAGAAGTATCCACAGTGAGATAAAATTGGTCAGTACAATAGAATTTTGTATGCACATACAATTAAATGTTGCAACACACAATGTACTGTACTCAACTGTAATGCTGTTTGTACTTATTCATGCAGTTCATACAGAGTTGCCTGTTGTACAAATATAACACACACATCATTATGCATTAAGTAAACATCTGGCACCAACAGCATTTTGCAGCCTTTGCCTTGTAAGTGTTCCTTCACAGCTCTACTACAATGTTTTAAACTATTTTCAAATTTATTTAATTGTACAATATTACTATAAGAACTAATTTTCTTAAAACCAATGGAAATAATAGCATTTGTGACTTGGTACAAAAGTATTAAAGTTTCCTTCTTCCTTCAAATTTAAACATTATTAATTAACTAAATTTCTCTGTTTCGTTCTCACAGGAAAGCCACAAAATTGAACATTTTCTTCTACAAAACCAGTAGCATTGCTAAACAGATATGCAAAATAATGAAACATCACATGTACTTCAGTACAAAATGGAAAGTTCACTGAACCTGTTTCACTAAAGTACTGTATGGTAACAGGAAAGAGAATTTATGATTAGCTATGGAAATATAGAAAGAAATAATTTAATGATGTCTCTACATGCAGCCCATTTTCATTATGAGTGTGTTTTCCTTGTACATTGTCTACTGTCTGGATGAAAAATATACTGTGTATCCAGGGATGTTATTCTATTTTCTTGTCTTCATTTTCAGAGAAAGGATAGATTTTGTAATTTATTTAATAACAATATAATTAGCTCGAACTATGCAGCGCTAAATGGCAGGATAAAAATTAAATAGAAGATATTTTGAAGGAAAGACTGTGACCTAATTTAAGGTATCGTTCCAGCATCTGCCTGGAGTGACTGTGTAAAACCACAACTCAAAGAGGATAGCTGGTATCTGGGCCAAGATTTGAACCCAGAACCTTCCCAATACAAAAGTAAAATAAAGAATACCTACTCTTCTGGGAACATTGGATAAAGAGAGATAAAAGTAAATTTATCATTTCAGATAGTGGATCCTACCTGAAGACAGACACAGATCCAATCCAAAACATCCCATATATTTTTATCTGGACAAGATACCAAATACCCTACTGTAAATGAAAATGTTATGTTTGAGTACAGTACATGTTAGCAAATACTGAAGTTATTTGTTTCCTTAATTTTTTGATGGCTCTGAGTGTATAAATATATTTCTCCTTTCCACATGTAATTTTTCTTCCTGTTTTCTCCATGGACACCTAAAACTCTCCATCTCTTGTATATCAGAAGTCTTATCTCCAAAATCATAGACATCTGGTTAACACTTTCATCCAGACCTTTCCTCTGGTGATAACACTGAAAGGATTAATGTCTGACACGGTGGGAAAATATATTCTGGACAAGCAGAACAACGTAAATAACATTTAAAGTACTCAATTACCTTACAAAAGAATATATCTTTGTCACAATTGAAATCTCAATGCTTTCTTCAGAACTATTCAAAATATTTCCCACATTTTAAAAAATGCCCACATTAATTTTAGGCATTATGTCCGATTAACAATAACTGCAAATAGTTCATTCATGCAGATCTCATGAGATAAATGGACAAAGACAATGAAAATGATATGACCATTTCTTTATGAAACTCATTCTTTAGCCTTTACGAAACATGCATTGTTGCTTACATATGATCCAGCTGACCATGCTTGACTATGGATTGCAGTAACATACCACTAAACCACTAAACCCCACAGTTAAAGGCTGGATAGCAGCCCCTTAGTTCAGGGATTCAAACCCTCAAAACTCATACAAGAGAAGTAACAGGTAGAGAACTCAATTTTCCATTGCAGTACTTTCTAGTCATTATCCTTCCACCTATAAAATGTCCACATCCAAATGTAATAGAACTAAGGAACATGAGTAAAGTGGCTTTTATTTTCACTATATACAGTCTATCTACCACTAACCTAATTAACCATTCTTATGTCTGGCTCCATGCGTAAGCCAACAATCGGTCATATAATAAGATTTACCACCTGGTCGAAAAGTAGTATGAGAAAATTCCATTGTGTTGTGAAGAAAAGGTGAAGGTGGGCTCATATTAAGAACTGTTGTGATGTTTAACAAATTACAAACAAAATTATACAACTCACACAAATATTTTTGGGCAAAAAGAAGAAACTGTTTACATATATTGCAATGTGAAAAATTTTGATGTAACATTTGTCACTTATACATTTGCAAGGAAAACTGTAATTGTCAATGCATTTGCTGACAATGATGCTCAGAATTTAGAGTGCATTTTTATATAAATTTGGTATTTGTTGTCCAAACTGATGGCAGACGACATATTGAATCCATTCCTCTATCTCAAATACTGTTTATATGCTACTTTCATCTTGAAATATCATTATATTCACATTTAGTCAGTACTGTTAAAAGTAAAACTGTAACAGAATACGTGCAGTGCAGTAACTGTGTACACTAGCAGATGATCTTCCTACATTTTAAGACTAGCCTAGGAATAACATTGAAGTGATGTTAATAATGTGGCATTTATATTGACTTGAAATGTAGAATTTTAAAACAGATTTCTTGGAAAAGTTTCACTTCATAAGTTTTCAAGCCAGTGGGTTTACAGGTCAATACACTATCATTTATATAACAATTTTATGCACAGTGAAAAACATTCTTGAAGTACAAATAATTTTTTAACATTACAGAATGTTAAATCTTTATCTACTAACTACTCCTCTGAACATTATTTGTAAAAGGTTTCAGGTAATGTCTGAACCTTACAAAGGGACTGAATCTTCATATATGCTATATGAATTATTACTAATTTAATTTTTTGTTTTTTTAATTTTTCAATCATCATTACGCTTCCTCAAAAAACTACTATGGTTTGGGAGATGGCTCTTCCCCATCCTCAGGTGAGCCTACAGTCAAGGCCATTACAGATCGAGATTAGCTCCTTCTAATGAGCCTGACTGTGTAGGTTTACCAGAGGATTAGGGAAGAGCCATCTCCCAAAACGTAGTGTATTTTTTTTGAGGAAGCATAATGAAGATTGAAAAAGTCCAAAAAAAAAATTTGTAATTCAACACCATAAACATTTAGAGATGAGTAATGAAAGATACTGTGTGTGTGTGTGTGTGTGTGTGTGTGTGTGTGCGTGTGCGCGTGTATCGATTGACTGGCAGTCTTGTGTTATTTTTTTTTATCAGAAACAGACCAGACTTGATTCTGTAGCATTCTGTTTAATATTAGCTGTCAGAATATTTAATAACAGAACTTTGACATGAATCCACCTTCCCAGGTATCCAGTGACCCAATATACTTTAGCTGCCAGCCCAGCCACCTGCTAGAAGCAGTAAGCGAGTTAGTTGACTGATGTCAAAGTGTATGGGACTGACCCTTGACCACTGAGGCATCTGTGGTGGTGGTGCCGCTGCTGCTGGGCGAGGGGCACGTGCACGTACACAGGGGACATGTGACTGGCATCACAGCCGCCAGAGTTTCATCTGACAGACATACATTGTTAGCCTCTGAACATACACTGCCTGCTTTGGAATTTCCATTAAGTTTTAATTATTCCTCTGCCTCTCAGTTGGTATTAACAGTTTTCACTTTTACACTCACTAAACATACACTCTTCTAATAATGAAAGATTCATTCACCAAATAAATATAAGTCTAGATAAAAAGCAGACAACAGATACATAGCACATGACTGGACAACTTAATTACACTGTATATTAAATCTTACAGGCTACATCTCAACACATTTTCTTTCAGTGATTTTAATAAAAAACATTTTGTCTTTCTCTCCAGTACAGAGGAATGGAGACGGAAGTTGTTTGTGAACATTAGCATAAACTCTATTACATAATTGGTGCACATTTTAAATTATGCAGATGGTTTTGCTAGTATTTTTCATGTCTTGTATTTTTTAACACAAGTAAAACTTGTCATAATACTTGTAAAAAAATTGTGATCATTCAGGTTGCACCTAATGCAAGTGAAACATATAATAGCCAATCATAAATATTTCTTTACAAAAAAAAAATATTGATTAATTCATGTAATGTAGACCTCAGTACCTCTTCTACTAAAATTATGCAGGAACCTAAACTGTTAATTGCAGATCTCCTGAAAATACTAGTTCTCTTTGAACTGGCCAATAAAAAATGTGTGTATATGTGCTATCACAGAACCAAATTTGTTTGAAACAAGCCAACTGTCATTACACAGCGCTGAACAATTTATATCCCATTTTATACAAACAAAGCAGGTGGTATGACCATACTAGGTCACATATTGCAGAACAGTGGTTTTCTAGTGAGTTGATCCTCACTCTTTTTCAGTGATTCTACCAATTGCATGTTGGTTTACAAATCTGTGTGCACATGCACACGTCTGGATTACAGGGATAGAGAATAGGAAATAAAATAAATGTAAAATAATAATAATTAAAATGCATTAACAAAGCATTGGATTTTGCTTATCAATCAACTCCTGGAAACAGGCTTCAGTGATATTTACAAAAGAGACTGCTCAGCATATTCTAGACCTTGGCAATGGACACTGTTACTTCATCCTAATTCACCCTTGAAACCCATTGGACAGGAGACTGTGTGATTTTCTAACCCATTTAGAACATAGATGAGAAGAAAAACACCACTTCATAGAAGACTGAAGCCCAACATTCTAAACCAGGGGTCGTCAACCTTTTTATACCTACCGCACACTTTTGTATCTTTGTTGATGGTAAAATTTCCTTACCGCCCACCGGTGCCACACATACTGCCCACCACCTTGAAAGAGGTACAGCTCGAAGAGTGAGTGATGGCCGGTGGTAAGCCCCGCCCTCATGCGCGCTAAACTCGTACCTTTGGCTACAGAGCTCATTCGTTGCTCCCTTGTCCACGAGTATACTTCAAGAAGTGTCCGGTGAATTATTATCTATATTCAAAGTTTAGAGATTGAATTCAAAAGTAAATTGCAAAAGCATATTTTAAAAAGTTAAACTCGCGAATTTGTTAGCAATGTATTCGATATATGGAGGAAGAACAAAATTTGTAACAACGGACAAAAAACCCCACCACCCACCTTGAAAGCTTGAATCACCCACTAGTGGGTAGTAGGGACCAGGCTGACGACCCCTGTTCTAAACCATATCCAGTTACAATGTAACTGATCTGCAGTCAGTGTGAAACTTATTTTGCATTAAATCATTCACAAGAACAATCACTTGAGAACCACTTCTGTATGGTATGTTAAGACATTTAGCCTCCAGTACACTCCTTGTGCATAGCCACTGGTTATTCTGTGTACGTTTAAGGACCAAAATTCTAGACAGAGAATTCTGTAAAATATTTCATAAATGTCTGGTAAAACTTACCACTTTCTTTAGTTGTTGGTTGGCTTGGGACTGCAGGCACTACATCCTCTGTAAGGAAGAGTGGGTGGCAAGCTTATAGTAAACAGCCAACAGAAAGCATTTACTCACACATTACAGTACTAGACTAAAACTTTTCTTTTCATCACCATGCAAACACACAAAAGGATACTAAGTTCAATGGTAGCTCATTTAGAAGATTCTAAGCAATTATGTATGTAATTAATGTACATTTCAGACTATTAAGGTGGCGACTGACTTGTAACATTTGCCTGTAATGTAACGTGTTACAAATCGAGCATTACAAAATTGAAGACAGCGAACGGAGCCGCTCGATGCGAGCTGCTCACGCTCGTGGGCGCTCCATCGTGTTGTCGGTTTTTTCGCGAATCCCTTTGAGTGTTACATTACAAGTCAGTCAGTCAGTCGAGCGGCGTCGTAACGAGCATTCGCGAGTTCTTTAAATAACAGTAGCGTATTAAATGAAACAAAGATAACACAACCTCCATGTCCGACATATTGAATGAAATGAATGGAGCACACACGAGCACAGTTGAGCCGAGCGTTCAAGACGAGCATTCGATGCGCCTCACCAGTTGTGGTGTAATGTAACATGCTCGCCGCGAATGTTACATTACGAGTAAATGTTACAAGTCAGTCGCCACCTTTACACATACTTCCTTCCTTGGGAAATGTTAGCTAAAATTCCCCTGCAACAATGCTGAGTATGACACTAAATTTTAAAGTTTAAATTTCATGGTGCTGTGTCAAATGTAGTATTGTCCTCTTTTACATTCCAGTCAAATCTGTTAGTGTTTATATTGTTTCCATTGCCTAATTATTGTAAATATATTTGGAAAGTGAGTAGTAATTTTAAAAATGTGATCATTATTTTCTGCTTATAAAGAATCACTCTGGTATGGGGACAATATGTTATTTGTCGGAAAATGTTTGAACTGCAGGAAATCAAAATCACAAGCTTCGTACTTACTTACCTTCACCTCTCAACCTCTTTTGGAATACAAAGCAAATAATGTTGATAAATTGTCAGGCAATGTATAAATACTTTTTAAAAAAACATTAATTCCCAAAAACTAAAACTGTACAGAGCATCAAAACACAAGTCAAAATCATTTGTCAAACACCATGAATGCTTCTGCACAGAATGAGCAATGGATTTACTTCTTAAAAAAATAATCTGGTATGTTCCTCACTGATTTGCACTTTCCTCAATAAGAAGATTATTTTTGACCATCATATTCAGAGTTCGTACTAATAATCCAAGTAGTTTCACCAAGGAAGTACAAGTAGCCATGTGTTTGTCAGTGTACTATAGTATGTTGAGTTCTTCTTTCCTTTTGGGTTGCTATCATACCTAATCAAACATGCAAATTTAAAAAAATAATACTGCAGTACATACAGCAGACTCAGCTAACAGATAAATAATAATAACAACCTCAAGAAAACTGCATATAGAAAGCCAAAGTGATGCCTTGTAACACTAAATCATTAGAGTACTTAATAAATGAAAAGAAACGCTGAGAAAAGAAATGGTATTAAACCCAAAAAATTCAAATTAAATGACTTTTCTTTACAGGAACAGAAACCACTGAAATGGTAATAAAACTGAAGGAACTAAAAAAACGTTATACAAATTATGGGAAAACATACAATCTAGGAATGTAAATTCAAGGTTTCACTGTACTAAGATGGGCTCTCTCTTTCACTCAGCTAACACCTCACTTATTCCAATACTCAGATCCTCACAATCAATCACCCTGAAAACCATCTTAATAATTTCCCCCCATCTCCTTCTCAGTCTTCCACGTGAATGTTTTCCAAGATGTCTTCCCACCAAGATTCTATACAGTTATGACTGGAAAGTAAAATATATTACTGTATGTAAAAATATTAATCTTACTAAAGACAACTTTGTTAGTTGCACTGCCTAATTTTTCTTCAATGAGCCACCACTGACTGAACTATATCAAACTAAGAGTATTGACAGTACTCTAAATGTATAACCTTTACTGCAGCAGTTACATTTATAGATTTCAAGGTAAATGAAGCAGACTAAAAGATGCAAAGGCCTACTGCCATTTTGAAAGCAAATGCAAAGCTGGCAAGGAATCTTAAAGACAAATGAAGAATATCTTTAAGGGTATTAGAACTTCTAACACAGAAGTTCTGTCCATCATAACGCATTCCTACTTTCCACAGACCTGTATTTATCCGTCCGCATGCTTTGTGTTCCCCAAAGGCAATGCTCTGGATGAATCTCTTCTTGCCAGCACTCCAATCAGGTGACCCCACTGCTGTGCAATGCTGCTCTACATTATCCCATGCACAGTATGGGTCTTGAAGAGCCACACATTCTCTGTAACAAACATATTAATTTGCCATAATATGCATAAGAGGCTAAAGTTACACATTAAATTCTTAAAAATAAATCTTATAAAAAGAGTACCCAGTTTTATAATGAACTGCCAGTCACATAAACGAACTACAAACAATCCACACTTCAAAGATTGTTCAAATAACCCTTGTTGCAACATATCTTCAAATAGTTGGTGAATTTATGGATATATTACATTTAAATAAAAGTGGGTTTGTACATTAATAAGTCATGTTCCTTTCCATATCACGAAAATTTCCTGGTTTACAGTTTCTGCATTACTGTAATATGGATGAACATGGAAGTGGGAGAGTTGATTTGTGAATTTGTTTGTGCGATACATGTTGTAAAACTTCACACTTTAATCAACTAACATATAATGAAATGGAAGCAATAACCTTAATTTCACTGTTCACTCTGTACATGTTTCAGCCTTATTTTCTACACTACACACATATTCCCGTAAAAGCCATGAAAGAAGTATGTCAACATGCAGTAGCTATATCAGTCATGCACCCCTCCCCCAAAGAATGGAACAAACTAAAATATAGTCTTCTGGACTAATTATGTTAACCTTTACCATACAAAAATAGCAGATTTATACTACCATACTAAAGGGCTGCCAAATGGACATATTTATGCTGTAGTATAATATATGAAAAAGTCAGAGATGATCATGTACAATAACTACACTTCAAGAGTTCTGTTTGACAGCAAACCACATACTTAGGGAAATACCAAACGAAAACTGTACTGAAATTCTCTAGCCCCATACCTATGCTGCATGGTACTGAATGCTAATAAAGTTCAAGTGAGATAATCAAAAATGGCATAAGTGTGCTTCCTGAGAACAATCAAGATTGATAATACAATAAAAAATATTATAGAAGACTTTGGAATAACACACATCAATACAGTAATATAAAACTATCAAAATAAATGGTTAAAATATTTTTTTTTTTGAAAAAATGCTCAAAACCCAAACCCAAAAGCTGTTTTATCAATGTGCCTGTCAACTGAAGGAGACAAAATGCCAGGGTATGAAATAAAAAAATGGAACAGTTTTAATCTTAGTAAGTGGAATAATCAGAATAGCTTAATCCATGATGATAAAAATTATGTTCATAATGTTGGAGCTGCAGCAGCTATGTAGCAGGAATTATTAAACAGACGTATAGGCTACAGGCATAAGGGTTGTCAGCACTGTCTGCTGAAAATAACTGGACAAACGTTAAGGCAGATGGCTGAACAGAAAATGATAGAAATAAAATCTGTCACACAGGTATCACCTTTTTGTCAGTTTAATCAAAGCTTATAACCAATTTGCTATCCAGAAATATGACTGTAATTTAGGTTTTAAATTTTGTGATATGTTTGAAACATAGCAAGCACACATGTGCTCAACACATTCAGGCTGATTTCATATTCATGATATCCTGAATCTTATGTTTAAAATGAATATCAGAGGCAGTGCATGTGAGATACCTCAAGCTTCATGAGCTGTATGGGGACAAAAAGATTATGAACCTCTATTAGACACCATTCGGTGAAATGGGAAGACAATCACATGTGGTAAGTAGGTTTGGGTAGGAAAGCAGGCAAGGGTTTAGAGGACAGCACTTGTGATGGTAAGGCTGGGCGCAGACCAATGTAGCAAAGCTGCTTTTGGCAAAAGCGCGTGTGCTCTATGCAGAAGCATTCTTGCTTCCACTGAAAGCAATTTGCTACATCTTGCTTCTAATCAAAGCAAAAGCATTTCTGCTCATTGTACCTCAGTCGTCGTCATGGCTGAGGATGTTGCTGTGCTATTGTCGTATTGTTGGGAAAAATTATACATGGGTGAAAAAATGTATGAGAAACGGTTTAGAAAAGCTGTGTGTTTTGTTATGGTAATGGATAAAATATATTTAGATTATTATAAAAGAACATATTCTCCACTTACCTGGTACAGCAACCACTTCCCTGACAACTTTGTCCCAGAGTTTTTCTATTACATCTTTCAAACGATGCTCTTTTAATAGATAATTATATAAAGCCGGTCTCTTTTCTACCGCTACGATTAACTTTTCTGCATTAATTTCCATTTTGGATTACAGCTGGAGAACGGATCACAACACAATACTGTAATCTAACTTGAAAACAAATGATGAACAGCAGCTGGCGCATGCGCACAACAAAATGCTACATCTTGCTTCACGAGCGAGCAATGGTCTGAGAAAGTGAGACGAGCAAAATGCTTTCTGCTTAATTCTGCTACATCGTAATAAAAAGCGCTTTTGCTTTTTGTTCGAACGGTGTGCGCCAGTCCTATCTTTAACAATACGAAAGCATGTTTCAGCATGTTTCAGCACGTTGCAGCAAAAGCGCTTTTGCCAAAAGCAGCTTTGCTACATTGGCCTGCGCCCAGCCTAAGGGTACTATCATTTGGCAGCTTATAATAAACGTACATACCGGCAATTGGTTATCTTGTCAGAGTTACATCGCTGAAGTTTCACGGCTTGAATTTCATCATCTGATACAACAACTAATTTGCTTTCTTCACCATCCATGCGCACCACATATAGATTCTTTACGGCCACACTAGGTGGTAGCACTTGTATTTCTTCTATTACTACACTATTAACTGACTTGTCTGAATCAAATGATGCTGAGTTCAAAACTTTGATCACTTTTCCATCATCTGCAACAGAATATTAGAAGTACAAATAGGAAATTAGAACTTCAGTTTACCTCATAGCATTAAGGTCACATATGTGAAGAGTGTCCACATTTAGTCACTCTTTCAGAAATGAAAAAAGTCTTATATGCATGCCATTCTCTGTACACCTGTCTGTAATGTCTTTCTCATGTTTTTAAAATCTTTATATTGGAGATCCTTACAAAATCTTTGGTGTGGCAATGACCAATTAGAACTGGCATATTACATGAAGTCTTAATTAAACATTTATTATTATCTTCCTAAATGCGTGCTGGTTCGAGTCTCAGGGAAGAAGAAATTTTCTCATGAGCTTTCGACCAGTGTATGGGACTGGTGCCAACCCAGCATTGTGAGGAAATTGGGGAGCTACAATGGGTAGCATAATCCGGTCATGAAAACTGGCAATGGCTGCTAGCTCGTCGTGCTGACCACACGTCACCCTATATCTGGTTGGATGATCGCTCACCTCTGCTAAGGCATGTGAGGCCAGCAGTCAAGCTAGTCAGCTTTGGCTCTCTGGAGCTGTTACGCAATGGATTTAATTTTTTTTTATCATCTTACTAACCATTAACTGCCATGCAAGAGAACATAAGAAAGGTTAATATATATGAAGTCAAAAATAGTTTTGGATACAAATTTGTGGTAGAATGCTTCATGCCAAGCAAAACTTGATAAGCAATAAAACACTTTTGAAAAATTTGACAATTTCATTCTCATCTCCTTCCATTTACTTTTTGGTGTTTGAGACCAATCACAAAACATGATCTGCAATCTCTTAACAGGCAGAGACAACTAATCATGGTCTTCCAACAACAGAAATTACACATTATCATTAAAACACACTACCAAAATATATATTTAATCAAAAGCCAGCACAGATAGGGTTAAACATACACCGATTTTTTTAAAAAAAAAATTAATTAGATAAATAGTGTGTATTTTCTGCACATCAACTGCAAGCTGAGCTTTAAATACAAGAAACACATTTGTACTCCTTGGCAGGATAACCATATTTTCAGTGTGTTTTGTCTGATATAAAACACACTTATTAACAACGTCACACCAGCTCAACAAAAAGTAGAACATAAAGTGTAATTTAAAAAGGTGGTATATACTTAATATAAATAACAGAAATATTTTCACATATTAATTTTTATAATGCAGATGAATACAGCAATATAAGTTCTTAAGGATTTTAATTTCTTGGATCCCCCACACCTGACGAGCATGTTGTTGTTAATGTTACCAGAGGTACTAAAATATGAGAATTACAAAAACAGAAACAGTAATTTAACATTAATTGTAGTTTCATTTTGCCAATGTGCACAAATTATACTATAGCAGTTAATGATAACAATTTTCTTTCACTCATGCTTCATAAGTCTAGTAAAATAACATAAGGACACATACCTGTTCCAATAAAAAGGACATCATAGGCTTTTCCATCTGGAGTCCTTACTTGTTGATCTACAGCAATTTTTGTAAACCTGTATCTGAAATAACAGACAATTAATTGTAAATTTATTTAATACTCTTCTGCTCATAATAACATATCATTAAGAAAACCTTTGATAACAGCCAGGGCTTTAACTTGGTGGTGTGTTGCAGAATACATTTTTGTTACAAACAGTAGAAGAGAATGTTCCACTGAAACTATGATTAAATTTAAATGATTTTCTAATTATCTGACTTATTTAATAATAATAAAAATAATTTGATTTTAGATTAATTACAGGTTGTGACAAAGCAAAACTAATGACAAATGAAGATAAAGTTTCTTTCTAAGAAAATGCAATGTTTCTGATTACAAAATTTAATACAGACTGGCTTCATTACTTGACTGTTTACATTTCCATCATAAATGCTGTGATGTCATAATGTTTTAATTTTGAAAATTTTATTTTTGGACATAGCAAAGTTTAATACACTAAATCCACTATCATTATTGTTGGTGTACTTTTAATCCAAAAGATATCCATAATCTAATACACAAGGTAAATAATAAGTTTAGATTATTTTGATCCAAACAAAACTTACTGAAGGCTAATACGAATAAGTAAAGGTCGAGAAAAGAATGCCGGCACTGCTTCATCCATCAATGTGTGAGACTTGACAAAGTTGACAGATACATCTGGCAGAGTACGGCTGTCATTGACACACTGACCAGGTCTGGGTTCAGGCACCTTGAGACCTGGCACTGCAAGCCAGTTGGAGTTCATTGTCTCCTGCTCTTTGAATGGTCCCTCAAATGTCTCCAATATTGATTTCACACTGAATGCACACACAGCAGAACCTCCAATGGAGTTCACAGGAGTTGTGAACACACCATAGATCAATTTCTCCACGTGATCCCCATATGAGCCATCTATTATATCACTGGTCGACTCTGTAATCATTCCGAGATTGGGAAAGATACTGAATACCCTTAACAATTGACATTCTTTGCACTTATGCTCCACTTAGTGATAAAATCAATTTAACACTTAGCCTATTCTCAAGATGCTCTAGAAAGGAATGTTACACTAGTGGTTAAGTGCAATTAAGATCAGCTAACACTATGGTAACAAAACCTAAAGATTCAATACTGCTAATGTTAATGTTCACCTTGGACCAAGTCCTGAGCTACTTCTGGTAACATCTCATCTTCACACCCTACTGCCTCAATATTCATCTTAATTTAATTCTCCATTTAACAGAGTCATTTCCTAACAGGCACTTCCAGTGAAATTTGTTATGCATCTACCTCATCCTAGCACAAAAGTGGAATATAATACAGACCATCAATATCTTAACAATACTAGGTGACCTGAAAAAATAAAAATTTCCTTATCATTTAATATGCCAAACTGCTCACTTCAGCCCCAACTATTTTCTTCAGAATCCTGCCTTTAGACACCTGTAATTTACGTTGTATCAATGTAAGGTTTTCTCTGCTTCACAAGCACACAAGAACTGCAAAATTACTGTTCTGGATATCGTGATCTTCAGAACTCTGGAAACTATACATGTGGTAGGAGCCTTCATATGGAAAAATAACAAGAATTTCTAGAATTCCTTCTCTGAATTTCATCATGAACCACGCTTTTATTTACTAGTGTTTTTCCTGGGGCAAATTTTAAAACATTATAAAATAATTTATTACAATCAGTTATTATGACTCTTTATGTTGATTGATACATTTAGTCAGATCTACTTCTACACTAGTCTCTTTGTTAGCGTGTACAGAAATACTGAACCTGCAATATTTTATGGTATTTATATTTACTCCCAACAAATAAACATAATCAATATAAACATAGTTTATAACGCATAAAATAGCAGCTGTAAAATATTCATATCATATGCAGTGCATTGCATTCAACTGTCATTATCATGCTCACGAACAGATTATATCACAAGATCTTTAAAGTTGTCAACATTTAATTCACACGCAACAAAATTCTTTCACAAAAATGCAGTCTATACATACGAATTTCATTGAAGTAGAAGGGGTAGTCCCCTGGGACGGAACAGTTGAGGCGTGACTTCAGGAAAGAAGTCCAGCGATCACCAAACTGATGTGGGCCTCCTTTGTCATGCTTGCAGACCCGAGCTACTCGTGAATACACAGTCTACAAATCAAGCATCCACGAAGTTAATTTTACATACTAGGGTAACAAAATTTTGAACATAAAAATCTGTTATACTTTACTTTATCTGTTATAATTTGTATCTTTGTATTAGTGTTTGCCTGTCACTGGCTCTTTGCTGTTGGTAAACACTCAATAAAGGAATTGAACTATTATTATTAGTAGTAGTAGTATTTAGACCTCATTTCTTATATTTACTTGCTGTGCTGACTGCATCTTATTTTGTGGTATTTAATTTTGTAAGTTTTTTCTGTTTTTTTTATTGTTTAATGTTTTTATTTATTATTATTGAATTGAATTATATTACTTAGGTATCGTATTTGGCCCATTTACTTGTGAAATATTATTCAATAAATGAACTGAATTATTATTATTATTAATATGGTACATGTAAGACTTGAGGTTTTCACAGCGGTGAGTATGAATATTTCCGTCTTCTGCGTTGTTGCGCTGTGTAGTCTGGTCGATGTTAACCAACGTTTCAGAGGTCATACTGCCTCTATCATCAGGGCGGTGAGTATGAAGAGTACATATTTGGCTGTTGTCAAGCACTCAAATAAATTAATTGAATTGAACTGAATAAAGTAAAAGCAGTCTGGAAAACTGTGAGAAAAGAAACTGGAAAATATTCTACAGAAGTGACCCCATCATGGGTATAATGTACCTGTCTTGTAATAAGTTGACTTAATCAAATCAATGGTCTCTTAAACCACTTTATAGTGATCAAGCAAGTGCCATCACCGAATGAATTCTATCCGGAGGAACAGGCTGCTGCAATTTGTCTACAACATCAAGAATTCAATGCTATCTTGGCAATCAAGAGAGATATTGTTGCCCTAAAGAACACAGGATTTTATAAGGTTCATGACGAAAACGGAAAGAACTGCTACAGTCTCACTTTCGAGATGTTGATGAATTAGGAGCTAGTGAAAAGCAATGCCAGTTCGAGGAAAAGCAAGGCAGCGACGAAGAAAATGAACAAATGTAAGACTTGAGGTTCTCACAGCGGTGAATATGAAGATTTCTGTCTTCTGGGTTATTGCGCTGTGTAGTCTGGTCGATGTTAACCAACGTTTCAGAGGTCATACTGCCTCCGTCATCAGGGCGATGAATAT